TTTTCTTCACGATATTATCTACCTACATTCTATTTAATTGATAATTCTAACTTAGTTGGGGAAATTTTAGATGTTACGCAATTTATTTTTTCTTTTTTTAATAGAATCATCCACTAGATAACATTTTGTGAATTGTCGCATATGCTATTTCCAACTATGGAAAGTTATTCCCAGAAATTTCCTTTGATTTCGGGTAAATGGCTTTTCATCAAGCAAAATGACCTGAGGTTAGCATCCTTCGAAATTGGGCATCAACTCTGATGATTTCCAACTACGCTAACTTTAATTTCCATCGCTGGTCAGCCGTCGTGCAATGAATAGGAGTCGCACTCGCACAGCTAATTTAGAGGTGGATGTAATTGTAGAGAGGAGTGATAATTCTCGGGATCAAATGTTCTTGTTGTATTGGAAAGTCTCGTGCATTGAGTTGCAAAAAGAATATGATTTTGGAGCGGGAACTTGTTTATGAAATTAGAATTTACCATGTTAATACTGTATTGATTCAAGGACCATCAATTGAAAATTTAATAAACAAGTATTTCAATTTAGATATTATCATCGTTATAGTTATTAGTTGAATTTATTTAAAAAAATATATATAAATTTATCTTATTTATTGATAGATATATATTTATATATTTACTTAAACCAAATATTAATTATATTTAAAAAATTATTTTTAACATTGATTTTTCAATAAAGAAATATACAATCAATATTTGCAAAGTAAAAAAAAAAAATTAACAACAAAAAAATATTTTAATTAATTAATCGAATCCTGTCTATTTTTTTCAAAATGATGACAATATATTTGTACAATATTATTTCAACGAAATATAATTTGATTTTCAATTAAAATAAACTTTTAATTATATATAAAAATAAAATTTTTAATGTTAAAGAAAAATATTTTTAAATATTTATTTTGTTGCATTATATTTATTAGGACCTATATATATTAATAAATTTTTTCAAAATAAATAAAAAACTCTTAATTAATTTTTTAATCATATAAAAAAAAATGTTTACAAAAGTTTTAATAACTTTTTAATTAGTAAAATTTTAATATCATTCCTAAAACAATTTAAAAAATATCTTTAAAAATAATCATTACTTCTTCTTTTTTAATCAAAAACTTGATTTCTGATCATAATAACATTTAAATTATCAATAATAAAAAAGTTT